TCAGGGGTTTTAGGTATTTAATTACGGTCAGATGAGCATCCAGGGGATCGTCTCAGGGCCCTTGGTGAGGTCCGGGGGCAGAGCCCCCGTTAGCTCTGTGGTCTTAGGCATTTAATTACGGTCGGATGATTATATTTTGATACCTCGTTTGCGACATTGGCAGGCCATTTATTTTTTCTCTCTTTCTTGCTTTTTCTCTGTAACACACTTTTTTCAAAAAGTGAGGGAGGCTCGAGCCCCCTAGCCCAGCCGTTTCTGCAGGCCCTGACATGAAGGCTTCTAAATAAGCATATTTTTTGCCCGACTGTAAATTTGGGGATTTCTAATGTTTCAACAAACGCATAAAAAAGGTATATGACTTACACAAAAATTGAGAAAAAATGCCGGGAAATCATGTTATTTCAGCAACATTTGTAAACCACTAGTATCGAATAAGAAATTACCCCACCCCCCCCCCCCATTAGTAACGCGAGCGTTTAGGGGCTCAGGTCTTGTCACCACTAAAAAAAAAAAAAAATAGACACGCTTTCCCATCATCTCACGATATTTCCACGATATGCGCGTATCGCTTTTGTAAAAACCTCCATATAGGTGACATGCGGAATGTTTAAGAAAATTGAATTCCTGTTAACTTTCCTTTTCTTTGAATGGAATTTTATATGTGATTTAATTCCGGTTGTTATTTAATACTTTCATGTTCTTTTGGGTTGAAATACAAACCATCTTTACTCCTTTACTGCATTTCTCTTTTTGTGTGGAGGGGTGGGGGGGGGGGCAGGGGGTGGCACTTGCCCCCCCCCCCCATTTTTTTGGTAGGGGGGGGGGGGGCAAGTGCCACCCCCTGCCCCCCCCCCCCCAATGCACTACGTATCTTTGGACAATAGCAAAGATATGACTAGACTTACTAATTGGGTCAATGTTGTAAACAAAGTCTGAAATACACTGTTAGAAAAAAATTAAACAAGTTGTTTAAAATTTTAAACAACCACAAGTTAACCAGTGAATCGCTCAACTGTTGTTTAAAAATTAAACAACTTGAGGTTGTTTACGTTTTGAACACTTAGTTGTTTAAAAATTAAACAAAACTTTTAAACAACAGTTGTTTAGTAATAAAATCGCACAACTCGGTTGTTTAAAGCAAGTTGTGTAAATGTTAAACAATAATGTTTAAACTACTAAGCAACTGTTGTTAATTCAATATTACTGCACAACTGGGTTGTTTAAAAGGAGTTGCTTAAATTTTAAACAGAACTGTTTATGATTATTATCTGGTTGTTTGAATTTGTGAAATGACCTACTGGAACCACTCCTGCAATAATCACAACGATTACACTGTAACATGTTGATCTTGTTGCCAATTTACTTCAACATTTGTTCATCATATTCATTTAACAGTGACAGACAACATTATTTTTATTTGTCTTTATAACTTCACCTAAACCCCATCGGCGAAGCCGAGAAGAACCAAATCGTCGCCTTGCCCTTGTTCCGCCATTTTCGTCTGCACACTAGCACTGCACTAGCACTGCATACTTGCAAGCATGTACTATGTACGTACTCTGTGCATATCGCATGTGTGCACGCAAATTTCAATCGCGTATCGAGAAAATATCAACGACGCGAAATCATGATTGGTTAAATCTATCACGTGATTTTTCCCCCGGGACTTTTTAAACAACTCTGTTTAATTAAATCTTTTTGTTTTTTAATAGATAGTTGTTTAAGCCAATTGAGCACTGATTTTTCGATTTTGAACAACGTTGTTTACGTTTTTAAACAACATTCTTTTAAACCTTGATATTTTAAACACCGTTCCGTTAAACTGTGTAGGGATGACTTGTAACAGTCCTATTATAATGAAAAAGTTAATGGATTAGCAAGGTAGGAGAAAATCATCACCCTGGGAAAAGTACAGGGTTCTCAATTTGATAAGAAAATATATGAGATTGATTTACAGAATATAGTGATTTTCTTTCCGTCCTACTTTTCTTTTGCATTTGATAAGTGTTCATTCTGCTATGATTATCGAAAATAGAATGTCTCTTTAATTAGCTAAAGTCACAACTCAGAGCAGCGACCGACCGATTTGTACCCTGCTCGGTCGTCGCTGAAATTCAGGCATCGCCAAACGATTTTTGGAAAAGTCGAGCAGGCTGTAGAGCCCAAGTGACGCCTGGGCGATGCCCTGTCGATTTCCCGTCTGTCGCCGGTCGACTTTAGGTCAAAACTGGGCGAAATCGGGGAGCTTCGCTGGTCGGCGTCCCGGCAGTGACCGACTGATGACCCACCGATTCCCGAGCGGTCTCCCACCGGCCACCGGCGAATTTTAAAGAAATTGCCCGGCGGCCGGCCGGTGATCGGCGTGGCACAAAAATATGCTAGGTGCCTGGACGATCACCGCCCGGGCACCAACCTAATCGAGCGTTCCTCGTCGAGCGGTCGAAAATCGAAGCCGCTACGTCAAAGGCTTTGACCGATTTCGAATTCGCCGCCCAGTGACCGATTGATCTCCTAGCGGCGACCGGGCGAAATTAGCTAAAAACTCGTCGCCAAGCAGGCTACTCTTTGGGGTTGTGAGTGACCATAGCTTAAAGTTAACAGTAGTGCAACGACAGGGCATCCTCAGGAAAGAATTCTAATGGTGAACAAAGCAACGATTGCTGTTAAGTGACTCTCACACTCTGCCGTGTAGGCCTACCGTGTGCCACCGTGCGCGAAAATGTCTGCGGACGGTGGAGAACGGCGGGGGCACACGGTGGTTCGTTATCAAAGCGGGCAACACGTTAATAGGGCGTTGGTGCTTATTTACACCCGGTGGGACCCGGCGAAAGTTTTTGGCATGTTCAAAACTTTGGCCGGCTGGCACCGGCCGCAAGTAAGCGGCAAGAGGGCGGTGTTGAACGGTATGAGGAGGGTATGAATACGTTATGAAAACGGTCACACTGTATGAACACGTCCCAACACGCTCATAACCCGTTACAGAACGGTGATGAACGGGCCAAAAAACGGGTTGTAAGCGGGTTGTGAACGTGTCATGAACGTGTTGATACCGTGCCACCGTCTTCATAACGTATTCATACCGTTCTCATTACAGTGTTCATACCGGACTGCCAACGGGTGTTTCCAAAGCGGTACCGCCTGATTCTGACGGCGCCGCCTCCCTAACGCATGGGTAACATCCTGTTAACGCCTTGACGTTCCCATAACGTCCAATAACGGGTCCATAACGTGTCCTTACCTTCACAGTAGCGTCATATGAACGTGCCATTACCAACAAATTTACTTTTGTCACCGTGTGCCACCGTTTGTCACTAATTATTGGGTATATATAGAGGGGTTTCGTCAGATGTGCTTTACTTTTTCTTGTCATGACGTCAGCAGTCCGGGGACTCGCTCACAGGACGCTCCGAGCGGTGAGGGGACGCTAAGTGACTGGTAGGTGGCTGCTACAAACCCGGTGCACACGTTCGAGACCCGGTATGGGCCCGGTATGGAAACGGTCAGAAGATGGCAACGAAACGGTGAAAAGATTAATTTTATGAATTTTTTTGTTGCGGCCGGGGACAAGTTCGCTCAAAACCCAACGTTCTGGACTCTGTTGTTTTTTAATAGCCCGGCAGGTGGACGGTAGGCCTACACGGCAGAGTGTGAGAGCTCCATTAAGGAGGTCTTTAAATCCAGCTTCGTTTTAACATGTTGCTCCGATTGTCTCATTTTCGCTCGCTCGATTACTGCAGCACAAACATAACTCGTTCGACGTCACTACCAAACTAGCCAATCAGCTGTCAATGACGTCATATTGAATGCGGCGGCAAATATATTTTGTGAAATTATCGAGAAATTGACTATTTCTAATTGCAAACTAGTTTTATTTTTGGATGGAAAAGCAGCCATTGTTATCTTGACATTCATTGAAGTAATCAGAATAGGGTAAGTTACTTCTCAGATGATTCAAGAGGTCCATTTTGTAGATATTTGTTTAATTTCTTAGAATGTTCCACTGTGTTGCATGATACCGGGTGTATGCCATTGGGTGTGATGTGTTCGCGCGGTATAAGTACAGGCCACCGCGCCGTTGGGTGTTTTCTCGTACTGATGTAGGTGCAAAGCTAGAATGGCTACCACGCCCACTTCCCTCTCTATGCCTTTCTGCACATTCCTTTCCTTCTCAATACAATAACTTTCACCTGCCTAAGTTATTCAAACCATACCGCCTCGCCACTTCCATTACGTAAGCATTAAAAGGATCCGCATATACAACATTATCCTGCTATACGTTGTACTGCAGGAAAATTCCTAAATTATGCAAATAACATGAAGTATAATTAGAATTCTATTAATAATAATGAAGTACAAGTCGAGGAGGGTTAGCATATTTCCAGGTGCTAGGCAGTGAGATCACACAAAGGAAATTCAAAGAAAAGAATTTCAAAAGAGGAAAGGAACCTTATAAATAGGGTTCGCGGGCGCACGTAGCCATCTTTTCAAAGAAGGAAGAGGTGTCAACAAACGAAAACTCTCCCCAAAACAGAGTAAATATTTGTCCAAAAACCGAAATATCATATTATTGATCATAACAAAAGCTACAATAGATCAAATCCATTCAATCAATCATAATCAATCAAACAAAAACTACAATCGATCATATCCAATCAATCAAAACATAACTCCTGTCAAACAACAGCTAAAGTCCAAACAGACATGAAGCCAGGATATATACACTCCCAATTAAAAAAGAGAGAAGATTCTGTGATTTGAACAATAACAAAAATCCAGAAGGGAGGGAATCTTCAGCAAAAGATCTTGAAGGGAGGGACCCTCCTCGACTTGTACTTCATTATTATTAATAGAATTCTAATTATACTTCATGTTATTTGCATAATTTAGGAATTCTATTACATAACATTCGTACAAGTCTTCAGAGGGTTAGCATATTCAAAGAGCAGATCACAGAATCTGAAAAAAGACGAACTTACATGAATAAACAACCAACACTTGAATTGCAGGTGTATCAAATTTTTAATCATAACACGAACCTCAAAAATAATGAAGCATAAAAGGATTACTCAGATCTCCTTGACTAAATCAGTCTTGCTTAAAAGTAAACTACGATCACGTGAATCATGTAAATACATCTCTAGTAACCTAGGATTTTCCTTTAATGGAACTGTACCAAAAATTGATTACCAAAGAGAAGCGAACCTTCTTCTCATTTAACATAGAGCCCTCTTTCGTGATAATGTCATGATATAGAACATAAATTTCAAGAAGCTTGAGCTAAAACCGAAAAAGCGAAAGTTCCATCTTCAACGACGGGTTTGTGGTAAAAGGTTTTGAATGTTCGGGCATTTGACCAGTCAGCTTTCTTCATTATTTCTTTCAAGGTGACCCCATGAGCGAAAGCAGAAGAAGTAGCGGCACTCCTGAAACTGTGCGCCGAAAATACTGATGTGTCAATGCCTGAAGCAAACAAAGAGAATTTTAACCATCTTGCCAAAGTACTGGAGGTTACCGATTTGTGAGGTTTTCTAGTTGAAATAAAGAGCTTCGTTTCCCCATGACATTCACGAAGAGGTTTGGTACGATTAAGATATTCCTTAAGAGTTAACAAAACACACAACTTCTTATTCGAAGGAAAAGAAGGAAGCTCAACTATTTGCTTAGCAATACCCTTTTTTGGAGTAGTCGTTTTTAAGACATCCATGACCTGAAAAACTGCACGATCATCTGAAATGTGCATGAAAGAGATATCTAAATGATTGAGAGTCTGTGTACGTTGCGCTGTAACAAGTGCGACTAACGACACAAGTTTTTGACTCAAATGAAACAAAGAAAGTTGATAATTTTCTGCCATTGAACACAAATAATCCAAAACCCTGGAGACTTCCCACGTGCTTTGGTACCTTGGTTTAGGAGGGTTTGCATTAAATATCCCCTTCAATAATCTTATTACCATGGGATGCTTGCCAACTGGAAAGCCTTCCATTGGTGGTAGTACAGAAGAAAGGCCAGAACGATAAGAATTAATAGTAGAGTAGGATTTTCCTAAACCCTGTTGAGCACTAAGAAAATTAATCACGTTTACAATACACGAGTCAAAGGGATCAAGCGATTGTGAATCACACCAGCGAAGCCACTGTTGCCAAGCCGATTCATATTGTTTGTTGGTTCCATCTCGCCAAGAGAGGGCGATGAGGCTGGAAGCGTGTTCCGAAAGGCCCGCTGAGCGCCAACCTTTGTTGAGATAATCCAGGCGGTTAGCTTGAGGTTTGGGAATGGGTTTGAATGTCCCACGAGAGAGTTCGGAGGTAGTAGAAGGGGTGGGGCGACAAGTAACTGAAGGATCATGGGATACCATGGCTGGGCTCGCCACAAAGGAGCGATTAGAAGGGCAATGTCCACCTTGTCCTCCCGAAGCTTCTGCAAGACCCTAGTAAGAAGACAAAAAGGAGGAAAGAGATATATGTTCAATGCATTCCAAGAGATGGTAAAAGCATCTACTGCAAAAGCACAAGGGTCATACTTCCAGGTTACATAACATGATAATTGATTGTTGAAACGAGAAGAAAACAAATCAACGTCGAGACATACATTGAAATGCTGACAAATAGAGAAAAACCTATCGGGACAAAGATGAAGCTCTTTGTTTAGATCTCTACGTGAAAGCGTGTCTGCCTCAATATTTGCAATCCCAGCCAGGTGAGATGCAGAAAGCCAAATATTACGTTCAAAACACCATGACCAAATGGCCCGGGAGATTCCATCTAACATGGAGATACGCCCACCAAACTTCTTAATATAAGATACGGCGGAACTATTATCAGACTTAATATGAATATGGGCATTCATCCGTGAATTGCATAATGATGATAATGCGTGTTGAATTGCAAGCAATTCCAGAACATTAATATGTAGATCGGCATATTTAGATGACCAAACCCCTTGAGAAAATGAATAATCATTCTCACAGAAAGCTCCCCATCCCGTGCTACTCGCATCTGTACGTAATGTGATGCTGATAGGAGGCATTTTAGCGGGCGTAGTGAATGCATCCGATGGGATCGAGAGCCACCATTGAATTTCGCATAATGCGTCGGTATTGAGAGACACAAAAGAATCGAAATTCCCACCTGAAGATTCAAGCGCTTTAGTTTTGAAAGATTCCAATTTGCGGTAATGAATCCTCCCTTTTGGAAAGGCCTCAAATGAAGAAACAATAATGCCAATGAACTTCGCAAGGTCCCGAACAATGACCCGATTCGAAGCTAGAATAGAGCTTCCTACTGATTTCAATTTCTCCACCTTCTCACCAGGTAAACTTATCGACATACTAGCCGAATCAATGCAGAAACCCAGATAAGTTGTATCAGTTTTAGGGGATAAACAAGACTTCTCGAAATTTATTTCGAATCCCAAAGATGATAATAAATTACACACAAAACTAGTGTGCTCGAGACTTGCTTGCCTCGAATTAGCGAAAATAATTATATCATCCAAATAAATCATAGAACGAATGCCCCTGCATCTTATAGCGGCCATCACCGGTTTCAAAACTTTTGTAAATACTCTAGGTGCTGAGCTTAGTCCAAATGGTAAACATTGAAAACAATAATAGGCCTTCTCCCACGAAAAACCTAAGAAACGGTGATGATCTTCATGAATCGGGATTGAAAAATAAGCGTCCCTCAAATCAATTGAGGTCATGAAATCAGATTGCATCATCAGATCTTGAACATTTTTAAACGTTTCCATTTTAAAATGATCATACTTGACAAAAGTGTTCAGGTTTTTCAAATTAATAACTGGTCTGCGTTCTCCCGATTTCTTCGGAATCGTGAAAATAGAAGACAAGAAAACAAGGTCCTGTCTAGATGTTTTTCTAATTGCATTTTTCTCGAGAAGGGAAACAATCTCCCTACTAATTGCTTCCTTCTCTATAAGAGAGGCAACGTAATTGCTCGGTGAGCAACGTTGAAAAGGAAGAGAGCAAAAATCAATTTTATAACCACCGATTGCGTCTAAAACCCAAGAATCAGACGTCAGACGCGACCACTCATCTTTGAAAAACCTGAGTCTCCCTGACTGGGAAAGGTCACTTACTAGTTTTTTGGGAAACCGGGCTTGTTAAACTTGCCCCGATCTGCGTTGTACTTGGACTGTGGAGCCTTGGAAACTGTCGCTGGGGCGCGAAACTCCTTAAATCCAGATGGGCCGCTGTTGCGATCCCTCGAAAAACGAGAATAATCCCGCTTGTCCTGCCGATATGGGGCTGGTCGCTGATAGTTGCGCTTGGCACGCCCCCTGAAGTTCTGAGGCGAAATTTTCTGACTGACCAGAAACGAGTCTCCGACCCCTTTAAGGGTCGCTTGAAATTCACTTCCAAAGAGGCCCTCAGATACCGATACTGAACGGCTGCAAATACCCTTGTACTTGGGGTTAAAAGAGGGCTTCAATTCTTCCCTACGCCTCATGCTCACTTCGTAGGAGGCAAAACCGCTTAGTGTGATACCGTCGAGGGCGAGACGCTTAATGCGGTTGGTATCCACATCGCGCTTCTCCGAAGCCGCGCTCTGTAACTCTGAAAGAATCTCCGCATAGGGAAGCAAACCTTTCACAATATGAGTCTGCAACTTCTGTGCACGACTATCGGCAGCACGATAATTCGGTGGAATTGAGCCCCACAGTTCCTGGGGAATCCTCGGCGTGCAAACCGCTGGAGCATTCTCCGGTGTAAGATATTGAGTAGCAATCTTCTCAATGCTTTCCTTCTTCGGAGGAAGCGTTACTGCTTTGGTCATGCGAGCCGCCAGGCTATCAGACACAGGCGATCTGAAATCCAATGTGCCCTTATACAGGTCACAATCGGGTGGAAAGAAACTCGAAACTACATTCGATTCCACCACACCCGGTGTCTCCAATAGATCCAACTCAGGGTCGTAACTATCCGCCCTGCTTGGCGACGAACAAATAGATACACTGTTATCAGCGAAAATGCTGAGCAAGTCATCATCAGGTAAATCGCCCCCATGCTTCGCACGTGGGACTGTCTCATTTTGATTTGTGGACATAACATCCATAAACCGAGACATCTTGGAAGAAAGCTTCCTAAGTTCTGCGGACTGGGCGGCGACTTTGCCCACCAGGGATTCCGCCGGATCAGTCACCGTCGACTCATCGGCTCCCTGCTCGAAAATCTCCGTCTGCATGTCGAAGTCCGTCTGCATGTACTGTCGAAAGAAAATAGGTGTTCTTACTGCCACACACAAAAGAAAAGATGGCTACGTGCGCCCGCGAACCCTATTTATAAGGTTCCTTTCCTCTTTTGAAATTCTTTTCTTTGAATTTCCTTTGTGTGATCTCACTGCCTAGCACCTGGAAATATGCTAACCCTCTGAAGACTTGTACGAATGTTATGTAATAGAATACAAATCTCCCTGGTATACCTAAAGCTACAGTCCCATATACGTCCCGGACCGTCCCGGACCATCCCGGACCCCATCCGGGGTGATCCGGGATTCGGTCTGTGTTGACACCGTGTTGGCACCGGGGTGGTCCTGGATGGTCCTGGATGGTCCTGGATGGTCCTGGATGGTCCCGGGCGGTCCGGGAGTCGACCCCGGATGTTTTTGACGGTCAAAAACTGCCGGGGTGGTCCGGGACGGTCCGGGACAATAGTTTGATCCGGGGTGATCCGTGTAGCCACCGTGCTGGGTCCGGGGTCATCCGTAGTGGTGCCGGGGCGGTCCGTGTTGATCCGTGGCAGTCCGGGAGTGAGTTATTGAGCCCGGGTCACCCCGGTGCCCCTACGGATGATCCCGGACCCAGCACGGTGGCGACACGGATCACCCTGGACCATCCCGGACCCTATCCGGGATGGTCCGGTGTCATCCGTGTTGGCACCGTGTTGGCACCGGGGTGGTCCGGGACGGTCCGTGGCGGCTCCGTGCTGGGTCTGGAATGATCTTTACTGCTGCCGGGGCTATGCCTGGACGGTCCGGGGCGGTCCGTAGTGGTACCGTGTTGGGTCCGGGGAGACGGTCGGCGGTTGCGATTTTTTGAACAAAACATCCCGGACCATCCCGGATCACCCCAGACCATGGTCCGGGATGGTCCGGAGTGGTCCGTGCTCGTCCGTGCTAGTCCGGCTTTATATGGGACTGGGGCTTTACAGTCCAAACAATAAATATGTGCTTTTAACGAAGCAGGCGACAATCGGCGTAGCAGACGACACTTGATAGTAATTTTGTACGTGAGATTGCTTTGCTAAATATAAATTACTTTGTTAATAAATATCAACTAAATTTTCTTTTAAATTTCTTTAAACCATCATTGATATTTAATAATTCAAGAGTGAGTAAAAGAAACATACCAAACTATATAATTATATGAAATACTTGGTGGCAATTAGGGGAGTTTGACGTGATGACCGATTGCACCCCTCTGTTAATAACCGAATAGTCCATGGTGTGTCATGAATATTCATGATTTTCCTTACCTCGGCTAAATGTTTGCTTTTACTAAATTGAAAAATTACGGTGGGGGGTTGGCTGAAATGGACATGATGAAATAGGCAGAAGTGATCTATGATAAGTCATGCTTTTTATGTTTGGTGTGCTCGACCTATAATCTTGAAATCGCTTGGTGAACTAAGTCCAAAGTTAGACTTGTTTCACATGTGTATTATAGGCAATGACGAGCTTGCAACCTATTTTGAAAAATTACGGTGGGTGAACTTTCAAAAGTCAATGAGACATGTGGGCTCTAATGAAAGAGCTAGTGATAACGTACGTCGGGGTGAATGTGCTTTTCGTTTAAACAAAAAAAAAATGAATTTTTAAAGATTAAAAAAAAAAAACGTCCATAGGCTAACATGTTAGGCTGCTGACTCTGACCATGCTCTGAGGATAGGGGGCGTTGTGAAATGAGACTAAACGGAGCAATATGAGTATTTACTGCAGCACGTTTAAGTTATTACACAACGTGTGTACCTTTCGAACATTCATGATACTTATTCTTTCATCCAATACCAAAATGCATTTATTTCCTTAGTATTGATTAGCTAACATCTACCTAAAAAATAAGCCGACTGCTCACTTAGTAATCTACAAGTATTATTGTGTTATACTCTTTCATTCTGTTATAGATAAACTTCTTAAGATTAGTGTTAACCTCTGCCCAGTTTCTTTAACGACCAATTTCTCAGATTGATTTTAGAAGATATTAAAAATCTTTATTCTAATGATCAAAATTGTATAGGTCAGCAAGGAGGGCGAGTCTCACCAGCCCAGAAAAATAAAGAGTTCGCAATAATACCTCTACGCTGATAGTAGATTACAGTAATTGTTTTGACATTATTATTATTATTATTATTTTCCTGCTATTTGTTTGCGTATGATTAGTGTTGATCCTGCTATGGCTATCTAAAATATCATTTTACCTAGATATTAATAGTGCAACAACAAGTGATCACGAAGAAAGAAATCCAATGGTGGAAACAACAACGATTGCTGGTAAGTTTTCTTCAAATCCAGTTTCCGTTCATATGTTTACTGTAACGCTTTTAAAATATTACACATCACTTGTACCTTTCGGAATGTTCTTCCATTAAATGTCTGAGTGTATGTGAATGTGGGGTGGTATACCGCTTTCGATAAGTAATATCCTACGCTTGAGTAAATCGAAAGACGAATCAAAAAAGGGATTTTTGTTTGTTTTTGTAATCTGATTAATAAATAAAAGTTAAGATTATTTAAACATATTTGTGGCTTACACTCAGTAAATAAGATCGATTGATCGATCTGTATTGAAAATAAGTCAGAACAAATCTTGGAACCAGCGGGACTTAAACCTGCATCTACTGCTTGCCGGGCAGCGACTCTACCACCAGGCCATTACTGGTCCATGGCACAGTCACGATGAACTAGAACAAATACCTAAAGCTTTCATGATTCATTCTGACTCATTAATATTCATTAGTCCGACATAGGACAATAACTTTTATAAATGTAATGCTTCCTGGGAGAAATTTTAATTATTAAAACATATTTGTGGGTTACACCCAGTAAATAAGATCGACTGATCGATCTGTATTGAAAAACAAGTCAGAAAAAATCTTGAAATCAGCGGGACTTGAACCTGCATCTACTGCTTGCCGGGCAGCGATGCTACCACCAGGCCATCACTGGTCCATGGCACAATCATGATGAACTAGAACAAATACCTAAACCTTTCCTGATTCATTCTGACTCATTACTATTCATTAGTCCGCCATAGGAAAATAACTTTTATAAATGTAATGCTTCCTGTGAGAAGTTTCTGACTTGTTTTTCAATACAGATCGATCAATCGACAAATGTTGACGATAATATATTTGTAGGATTTGAAACCTGAGCTTCGGGTTGCGGGACAACCACATTACGACAAAATACCCATTATTTGTTCTCATATACTTGTTTGTATCAATTAAGGATATAATTGCTCATCATCTCCGTGGTCGTCTTCGTTTTGTGTTATCATCATCATCATTATCATCAAAAACAACTTATTCTTGTTCTATGTTTTCTGTTTCTATTTAGTCTTCTCCTCCTCTTCCTACTTATTCTTCTTCTCAGCATTCTCCTTCCTCTCAGCATTTCCCTCTTGTTCTTCTTCCCTTTCTTCTTCTTATACACTTGTGGTAATTGTTCTTCCTCTTCATTTTCACTTCTTCTTCTTCTCCTTCTTCTTCTTCTTTTATTTATTTAAGTAATATTCAACGGGCTGCTGCACCACCTATCACTGAGATAAAAAATAAAATGATATACAAATTTTATAAATTAATTAGGTTTGTATGGTTTCTTGTTCAATTATACGTGTGTACCTCTACTGTGATATAATATCATGGTATATTTGCGTTGTTATAGGGTCATCGGTATACTGCATTAAGTGCACGTTACTTATAGAAATTCATTTAAAAGTAAATATTGCGTCGTCTTGAACCTAAATCTCTAGTCAGAGAACGAAACATATTCGTTGATGTATACCTTTGCTGTTTCATGCAATTTAAACGGAAATCCAACTACTCCACAGATTAATATAAACTCTTTCTATATGCCCTTTTCATGTTACAGCACCTCCGAAGACGGTTACTCTCGAGGCGGTGAAGTCGTATGGTGCACGTTTTCTGTACCGGCCCCACGACGTGATACTGCATGCCGGCAAATATGTTATTACCGACACATACAACGGACGCATCGTGTGCATCTCCGCTACAGACGAGTATTCAGTGCTTTATGAGGACAAGCGTCCTGAGTTGCCATTTCGACCATTCAGTATTGCTGCTTTGTCAGAAACGGAAAATAGCTTTTTGATCACCGATACAAAAAATGGAAATGTTTTTAAGCTCAAATCTGAGAAGCTGAGTCCTTTTTCATCTACCTACAATGATTTCTACACTCCTTCTGGCATAACCTTGAATAGGAAGAGAGATAGGGTTTACATTGCAGATAGTGTTCAACATTGCATTCTTGTGTTTGATATGGATGGTACCTATCTAGGCCGGCGGGCCGAGAACTCTCTTTCTTCCCCATGGTTTATTGCTTGCAATTCACAAGACAAAATATACGTAACAGATGTAGAAGGAATACAAGTATTTGACCCAGAATGGAGATACCTTACAACCGTAACAATAACAAGAAATAAAAATACATGGTATTACCGCGGTATTGCAATAGACACACGTGATAACATATTTATCACTGCTCGCTCCCCAGATTCCGTATTCAACACGGAAGAGACGGTTGCAGCAATAGATGCAAACCACGTGCTAGTAAAAGAATACACTTCTTTCACAGGTAGCATGTTCAATTATAATGACCTTCGGGGTGTTTGTATCGATTATAAGAGGAACCGAGTCCTAGTTGTCAATGGCGAGAAACATTCAATTGCAACCTACACACTTTATTGAACAGCATTTTGATTAAAAAAGATAGGATATATGGACAAAGAGTGTAAAGCCTCCCTCTCCCTACGTCTTTGTCTAAACTGGCATAAATGTGAATGACTAAAACCATTGACATTTTAGCTTTGGGTAACTGTGCCGGCTCGTTATTGAACACAATCTTACTTCTTCAGAAAAAGTCTATTTGAAT